TCTTTCATGTGAAATGGAGCGTACTGATCTTAAAACAGGAGAAACTATAACAACTATTGCATCCTTTTCAACAAAAGCAGAAATTGTATTAGAGTCAACAGATTTGAATGACTTTTATGAAAGAGCTGAACAAAAAATTTTAGAATCCTTGTCAGCATTTCAACAACTAGGATCAAGTTGGAGATTTGTTTCTGTTGAAAAGATGGATATAAATATCATTGAATATAAACCGCTTAAAGGTAAATCTTACATTCCTCTTCCTAAAGAGTTGGCAGCTAAAAAAGCAATTATTAATATGAAGAATGAAGAAGACAATGAATGTTTTAAGTGGTGCGTTGCTAGATTTTTTAATCCTAAAGATGATCATCCTGAAAGAATAGATAAAGATTTAAAAAAACAATCTGAGAAATTAAATTGGGAAAAAATAAAATTCCCTGTATCACTACAACAGATTACTCAATTTGAGAAAAATAATCAAGACATCAGTGTTAATGTCTTTGGTTATGAAAATTCTGTTTATCCTTTAAGAATATCAAATGAGAAAAATAGGCAACATGAAATAGATTTATTACTCATTTCAAATGATGAAACCAATCATTATTGTTTAATAAAAAGTTTAAGTAGATTACTTTCATCACAAATATCTAAAGATGGACATGCTATGCACTTTTGTAGAAATTGTTTACAAGCATTTTGTACTGAAGAATCTTTATCAAAGCATCAATTGTATTGTAATACTCATGATTCAGTACGAATTGAACTTCCAAAACCAAATACAATGATTGAGTTTAATCATTTTAAAAAATCTATGAGAGTACCTTTTGTAGTCTATGCTGACTTTGAAAGTGTTATAAAACCAATCAACACTTGTACACCTAATCCAAATGAATCTTATACAAAGCAGTACCAAAAGCATACACCTAGTTCATTTTGTTACTATATTAAATGCTTTGATGAAAAAATATATCAAAGTCAACTCGTTACATTCACTGCAAGTAATGAAGATGAAGATGTAGCACAAAAATTTGTTAATATGCTAGAAGAAGATGTAAAAAAGATTTATAACAAGTACTTAAAGTTTCCAAAAGATATGATATTTACTATGAAAGACAAAAATAATTTTGATAATGCAGAAAAATGCCACATTTGTGAAAAAGATCTTAATAATGATAAAGTACGAGATCATTGTCATATTACTGGAAAATATAGAGGTGCTGCACATAGTGATTGTAATTTACAATTTAAAAATCCAAAATTCATTCCAGTACTATTTCACAATTTATCTGGTTATGACTCTCACTTGTTCATAAAGAAATTGTCAGAAGGAGGAAAATCAGAAGGAGGAAAATCAGAAGGAGGAAAAATAAATTGTATACCCAACAATGAAGAAAAATATATCAGCTTTTCTAAAGAACTTAAAGTAAATGAATTTATGAATAGAAAAGGTAAAAAAGTTGAAGTTAAACTGCATCTACGTTTTCTAGATAGTTTTAAATTTATGGCTGCTAGTTTAGATAGTTTAACTAAAAATTTGTCAAAAGATCAATGTAAAAATTTGAGTAGATACTATTCTGGAAATGAACTCAATTTATTGTTAAGAAAAGGTGTTTATCCTTATGAATGGGTTGACTCTATTGATAAATTAAATGAAACACAACTACCACCAAAAGAATCATTTTATTCAAGACTAAACGATGAAGGAATAAGTGATGAAGATTATTTACATGCACAAAATGTATGGGAAAAGTTTCAATGTAAAACATTTAGAGATTATCATAATTTATATAACGAATCTGATGTATTATTACTAGCTGATGTCTTTGAAAATTTTAGAGATGTCTGTTTTAACAATTACAAATTAGATCCTGCTTGGTACTATACAGCACCAGGATTAGCTTGGGATGCTGCGTTGAAAATAACAGAAGTAAAATTAGAATTATTAAGTGATTATGATATGATTTTAATGATAAAAGAAGGAATAAGAGGTGGAATTAGCACAATTTCTAACAGGTTGGGAGTTGCTAACAATAAATATATTGAAAATTATGATGAAAGTAAAAAATCTACTTACATACAGTATCTAGATGCAAATAATTTATATGGATGGGCAATGAGTAAACCCCTTCCAACACATGGATTTGAATGGATGAATGATGAAGAATTAAAAAATTGGAAATCTACTTCTTGCATATTAGATGTAGATTTGGAATATCCTGAACACTTACATGATGTTCATAATGATTATCCTCTAGCCCCTGAAAGATTAAAAATAGACAAAGTTGATAAATTAATACCTAATTTAAATCATAAGAAAAATTATATCATACACTATGAAAACTTAAAACTGTATGAAAGATTAGGAATGAAAATAACAAAAATTCACAGAGGAATAAAGTTTGAAGAAAGTGCATGGTTAAGTAAATACATTGAACTCAATACAGATCTAAGAACAAAAGCAACAAATGATTTTGAAAAGGACTTTTTCAAACTTATGAACAATTCAGTGTTTGGAAAAACAATGGAAAACATTGAAAACAGAGTTGATGTGAGATTAGTTTCTAAAAGAGAAGAAGCTATTAAATTATCATCAAAACCAAATTATGAAAGTAGAACGATATTTGATGAAAATTTAATTGCAATACATATGAAAAGAACAAAACTAGTTTATAACAAACCCATTTACTTGGGTATGTGTATTTTAGATTTGAGCAAAACACTAATGTATGAATTTCATTATGATTACATGAAAAATAAATATGGAGATAAAGCTAAACTATTATATACAGATACAGATTCATTAATCTATGAAATAAAAACAGAAGATTTTTATAAAGATATTTCTAATGATATTGAAAGTAAATTTGATACAAGTGAATTTAATAAAGATCATCCAGCTGTTCAAAATGGATTTAAAGTTGGTGTAAATAAGAAAGTATTGGGAATGTTTAAAGATGAGTCAGCAGGAAAACAAATTACTGAATTTATTGGACTCAGATCAAAGTTGTATTCTTACAAAATAGATGAAGAAGATAAAAAGAGATGTAAAGGAGTAAAGAGAAATGTAGTAAAAAATTATATTACACATGAAGATTATAAAGACTGCCTTATAAATAAGAAAGATCAAATGAGAAAAATGAATGTCATAAGATCTCATTTACATGATGTTTATACAGAAGAAATTAACAAAATAGCATTGAGTGCAGAAGATGATAAAAGAGTAATTCAAGAAGATGGTATTCACACATTAGCATATGGACATTATAAATTAAAAGAGAGTAAAACATTGGTTCCTTCAGAACCCAACTTTTCATTTCAGATTGATTGGAATGAAAGTGAAATAATTGACAAACCCAACTTTTCATTTCAGATTGATTGGAAATAAACAGGCAGGCAGGCAGGCAGGCAGGCAAACAGGTAAGTTATTTTTTATATCTAAAAAAAAGATCTAAAAAAATCTAATAAAGTAATAAAAATGGACAAACATATCAATGTTGAAGGAATTATATTACCCAATGTACCCTTAACAAACTTTCAGTTAATAAAAGCAGCAAAAAAATTAAAAATTAAAAATTTTAGAGGTGTATTTGTAAGAGATGAATTACCTAAAAATACACAAAACAAAGAATGTGGAATATTAAATACTGGAGATTCAAGTACGAATGGATTTCATTGGATTTGCTGGTATAAAGATGGAGAAGAAAAATTAAGTTTTGATTCTTATGCACTACCACCTCCAGTTGAACTTGTTCAATATTTACACAGTCCTGTTTATTATAATAGTAAAAGAATTCAGTTTGGAGACACTTCCTTTTGCGGACACTTGTGCCTTTATGTATTAAAAAAATTAAATGAAGGTGTTGATTTTCAAAGTATTGAAAACTCATTATATTGAATTAAAAAAAAATATAGTATATAAAAAAATGAGTATGAATATAGCCGGTAGTAATTCATTATATGGTTACACAACAGATGGATTAAATATCAACATTAATGTTGGCAATACAGCCACTACTGATGTTGATTTGAATTCACATAAATTGATCAATGTAGCTGATCCTACAGATGCACAAGATGCAGCTACAAAGTATTATGTCGATAACAATCAAACTTCTAGCAGTGCATGTCTAAAATTAGATGGAACTAATAGTATGAATGCAAATATTAATTTGAATTCAAATAAATTGATTAATGTAGCTAATCCTACTAATGCACAGGATGCAGCTACAAAGAATTATGTAGATAATAATCAGATTTCTAGCAGTTCCTATCTAAAAATAGATGGAACTAATAGTATGAGTGCTAATATAAATTTGAATTCACATAAATTGATTAATGTAGCTGATCCTACTAATGCACAAGATACAGCTACAAAGAATTATGTAGATCGCTTAATTCCTTATCAACATAAATATAAAGTTTTGATTATAGCTGGTCAATCAAATACATATGCTGGTAGAGAATGGGGTTTATCTCAATCAATAACTAATGTAAATTATATGAACAGACGAATAGTCCAATTTGCGATGGATAATGGACAAAATGATGTGTTACTTCCTTGTTCATTGAGACTAGATGTAAATGAAACAGATAATAAATGTTGGGCAGGATATGGTTCAATACTTGCTGGACTTATAATGCAAGACGCTTTAGGTGCAAATACATTAAATATGATAAATCCTGATGAATGTTTAATGATACTTCCATGCATGCTAACTGCTAAAAGTTTCAGTAATGATTATTTTATGCCGTATGGAATTGGTTTTAAAGATTTAACTCGTAGAATTAATTACATTTCATCACATTATAACGCAGAGTTTTGCTGTATGACTTGGAGTCAAGGAGAAGACGATTCTATAACTGGTTGGTGTGATAACTATGCATATATTCTAATGAATTTTATACAAACCATTAGAGATTACATTGCATACTCATCAAACCAATTTGATACATTGCCAAACTCACAAATAAAAGCAAATAAAATGCTATTCATTACATTTTAAATGCTATCTTCATGGGTTCAAGCAAACTCAACTACAGCAACTCAAGTTCAAGATGCATTAAAAAATATTATAAATTTTTCTCCATATACAGCTAGTATATCTCTAGATGGTATGCCTCCCAGTCTTAGGAGTGCAAATTTCGATGGAGTACATTATGATTCAAGACAACAAATATTTTTAGCAAACAAATTTTTTGAAGCAATACCAATTGCAATGAATAATATATATGGTGGTGGCTATGGAACACAATATAATTCTGGAGAAGTATTATTAGTTAGACAAGTTGCTGGATATTTATTTCTTAACAATTATTATAGCGCCTATAGAGTATTTAATTCTACTCCATCTACTTCTCAATTATATAGTACATTATTTACTAATTGGCAGTATAAAAACAAAGATGGCTATTATAAATATAGACTTAAATATAAAATTAATGGTGTATGGAATAATATTATATTTAAACAAGCATTCCTTCCAATGATGTCGATGCATTATCAAAATATTGCGCAACTCATATCAACAGATACACCATTTGGATGTACAGAATTAGGACAAGGATTTTGCGGTTTAAATTTGACAACTACAAAAAGCATGATGAATTCTGGAGCAGTACTTACACTAGATACAAGTGGTGGTTATTGGGCACCTGTATGTCAAAATATGAACTATGTATATAATGGACAACCTGCTATGCCTATATTTGATAGTTATATACAAAATAGTACTCTTCCATTTGTAGCAACAGAACTAGAATTATATGCAATAAGAGACCCTATATAATATTGTTAAGACAATTCTACTACGCATAAGCGCTACTACGCGTAAGCAAATCCAGCGCATGCGCATTAAAAAAATAAAAAAATTTGAAAATGATTTAAATAATTTTCTTGTGTATATAAAAAAGAATGGAAAATAAAATTGAAGAATTAGAAAATAAACTTGAAGAATTATGCTTAAAAATAAAATTAATTGAAGAAAGATTAGATCGTAAAAAAGATAAAAATCCTTATGGACCTGAATTTAAAGCATTAGCATTAGAAAAAGCACTAGAAAAAACTTTACATAAAGCTAAACAGAAAGATGCTAAACAGAAAGATGCTAATAGAGATTCTAATTGTATTATAACTGCTGATCTAAAAAAATATGGGTATAAACAAGGTAATAAAGTTGACTTTGCTGCAAGTAATAATAGACTTGATTGGATAAAACAATTAATTGAACTTGGATATAAAGTAACTACAAATGCAATTGCTTATGCTGCTACAAATGGACATCTTGAAGTAATTAAATATTTACATGAATTAGGGTATAAAGGTACAGAATATGCTATTAATAATGCTGCAAAAAATGGTCACCTTGAAATTATTAAATATTTGCATGAATTAGGGTATAAAGGTACAAAAGATGCAATTAATTATGCTGCTACAAATGGGCATCTTGAAGTAATTAAATATTTACATGAATTAGGGTATAAAGGTACAGAATATGCTATTAATAATGCTGCAAAAAATGGTCACCTTGAAATTATTAAATATTTGCATGAATTAGGGTATAAAGGAACAAAAGATGCAATAGATAATGCTGCTACAAATGGGCATCTTGAAGTAATTAAATATTTACATGAATTAGGGTATAAAGGTGATGATTATGCAATTAATTATGCTGCAAGAAAGAATCACATTGAAGTATTTAAATATTTACGTTCTGTTGGATATGATGAGACTACTATATTTAAGTAAATCTAGCGCATGCGTATTAAAAATAAAAAAAAATTTTGAAAATGAGTTAAATAATTTTCTTTTATATATAAAAAGAATGGAAAATAATATTAAAGAATTATTAAAATCAATAAATGAAAGATTAAGATTAGTTGAAGAAAAATTAAATATAATTGATATTCATGATATTGAAATGACTGATGATGAATATAATGAAAATGAAATGATTAATAAAGATGATAACATGAGTGATGATGAATATGATGAATATGATGAAGATAAAAATGGTATGATTGATGATGATCTAAATGATTATCTAAAAAAATATGGGTATAAACAAGGTAATAAAGTTTATTTTGCTGTAAAAATAAGAAAAATTGACTTGATTAAATATTTAATCCAATCAAAAAAACAAAGTGTAGATAATGCTTTTGAAATAGCTGCTAAAAATAACAACATTTTAATGTTGAAGTTTTTAAATGAATTAGGGTATAGAGCTTCAGAAGATATATTTGATAATGCTTTTAAAAAAGCTGTTAAAAATAACAACCTTGAATTGCTAAATTATTTTCATGAATTATTGTATAGAGCTTCAAATTATGAATATGATCAAGCTTTTGAAAAAGCTGTTAAAAATAACAACCTTGAAATGTTAAAATACTTGCATGAATTAGGGTATAAAGCTTCAAATTATGAACTTGAACAAGCTTTTGAAAATGGCCACCTTGAAATTGTAAAGTATTTACATGAATTAGGGTATAAATAAAAAGCAAGAATTTTTCGTAATATTTCATAACAAGAAATAAAATTTAACACTTATTTTAAAAAATTGATTTTTTAAAATAAAAAAATTATTTCTTATCTAAATAATTTATATACAACATGGTTCAATGTTAACCTCAATATTAATATTAATTTATGGTTGAAAATTTGGTTGAAAATAAAAATGTCCCAGAATCGGTAATCTCTTACTACTTATATATATATATATATATATATATATATATATATATATATATATATATATATATATATATATATATATATATATATATATATATATATATATATATATATATATATATATATATATATATATATATATATATATATATATATATATATATATATATATATATATATATATATATATAGCCACCCAGGTGGTTACTTAACCTGTAACTTAATTTTTAACAATCTTTATTCTGTTTTTTGTTTTATTTATTTTGATCACGATCTTATATAGTTGGATCATATCCTCCTTTCTCTCCGTTTAGTTAGAATTGTCAATCTTAGAACTTTTAAACTTTCTTCATAACTTAACCACCAAATTGATTTAACCAAATTGGGGGCTTGATGCTGCACACTTTCAATTGCTTTACAGTCACATTTTAAGTATGGGTACCAAACTGGTACCGAAATTCGGATAAAAGAGTAAGGATAAAAGTCACATGAAGTGATTTTAATATTTGGCAACTCAATATAGCAAAAGTTTTCTTCACATGACCCAACATTTTTTTTTTAATATTTGCTGTTTATATAGTAAGAAATATAGTTACACAGAAATGTTTACATACAAAAAAAGTGGATTTACAAAAAACAGGCAGGGGCTCAAAGAAGATACGGATGACTAAAGTCACCACAATCTTTTAAGAGAGCCCCTAAGTGGGCTTTACAAGTTAAAAAAATAGGATCTCCAATATAATAAAAAGGTTAAAGCTTGCATAAATATTTCCATTAAATCAAGAAAGAAAATAATATCAGTTTTATCAATATTCATTTAAATGTACTGGCAACTCTGTTAAATATCAAAATAAAAGCCAACTAAACAAGTAAAAAAACTAAGATCAATGGAACTCGATTTTCATTTCGAAAAATCAAGAAAACTATTTATCAAATTTAAAAATTTCATTTTTTTATTATAAACGTAAAGGAATTTAATGATTTTACAGTATTTAAATTTTTTGTTTTTTGAAAAGTAATCCATAGTTTTGGTCCGCGGTATGATATTCCATATTCAGAATACTTAATATTGATTCTTGGTAATTTATAAGTATTCCATTGGTTTATTCTATGAGAATACTTTTTGTTTACATTTTTTGTAAACTTACCATTAAGGTTTTTTGGAATCAAGCTGTTGTAACATTTAAACATAAAAATTAGGTGTTGGTAAATGTTGATTTCATATATATTCATCATTTGCATGTCTTCCATGGTTTTGCATGTTCATATTTTTTTATATATTTAAGTCTGCATGCATGTTTTTGTTAAAAAAATATTTTTTTAAGTTTTGTTGGTTGAGTACTAGCCCATATGATATTGGCATAGTATATGAGACAATGCATTAGGCCAAAATATACTAGTTTCAGACTTTCTGATGTTACATATGGACAAATACGGTACATCAAAACAATTGTTTTACTAATTTTTGGTTCAATATAATTAATATGGGGATGCCATGAAAAATTTTCATCAATAAGAATTCCTAAGAATTTTATTGAATCATTTTTACTAATTAGTGTATCGTTTAAAATCAAATCAGGTAAATTTAAAGGAAGTTTTTCATTGTGAGATTTTTTATGAAATAAAGTATATTTTGTTTTATCTACATTGAGCGAAAGTTTATTTTCCTTAAACCATTCATCGACATTTATTAGTTCAGATTTGATGTCATTTTTTGATTAATTTTTCTGCTAAATCGTTAATACACAGAATTAAATAAATAAACATCAAGGGTCCAATAACAGAGCCATTTGACACGTCACTAAAAGTTTAAAGCCGCTAAGAAACAATTTCACCAAGAACAATTCTTTGTCTTCTATTTTTTAAATTTCGTTCGATTTTAAAACTAAACCTTGAATACCGATTTTCCAATTTAAAACTAAAACCTAAATACTATGCTTTTTATCCATTTTAAAACTAAACCCTGAATACCAAACGCATTTAATTTAGCTAAGAGTCTATTGAGCGGACAGTGTTAAAAGTGTTAGCAAAGTCTAGCATTACAACACCCACATTTATAATAATATTTATAATTTTAATTAACATTTATAATTTCTAATGCAAGAAGTAATAAACTCTAGAGTTACTAAACATATTTGTGCGGCAAGATTTCCCTTTTACAAGTCCATGTTGTTTGGTTGTCGATAAATTGTTGTTGCAAAGATATGTTTTCAATTTTTCTCTTATAATAGATTCTTATATTTTGCAGGAAACAGACGTTAATGAGATAGGGAGATAACTGCTGACTATAGTTTTGTCACAATATTTATAGATTGGTGTTATGTTTGCAGACTTAAATTGAATTACAAGTTGACTAATCCTTAATGATGCCCTAATGATAAGAGTTATTGGTAAAGCAAACGATATTGCACAATTTTTGAGGGCTGTTTAACAATATTATTTTTTTATATATCATTTTCATATATTTTATTTTTATATCAGCAAGTTTAATTTCTTCAAATTTAATTACATCATTTATTTCGATATTAAAAGGCAATAACAATAAAACGTTTAAAATTAATTGTACTTAACTTGGGTTTCTCTCCGACATAAACAACCTTTTTAAATTATTTCAAAGTAACATTTCCCATATTGGCTAATTTAAAAAAAAAATTATATAACTCCTATTTGAACAAGATTAACACAATACTCCATCACAACCAAAAATCAAAGAATCCTTATTTTAAACTAATGTTTTCTTAAAAAAGTCCCTGATTCAGCTGAAAAAAATTGATTCAATTGCTAATAGGTATTGCCGTTCTGTAAATATTAAATTAATATTTACATCAATAAAAAACTTCTAAACTCTTTTCTTCTAAAGATTTTTTTCCTCTGGATTTGAAACCGTTCTGAAACCGTTGGTGGTCTATAAACCGTTGGTGGTCTATAAACCGTTGGTGGTCTATAAACCGTTGGTGGTCTATAAACCGTTGGTGGTCTATAAACCGTTGGTGGTCTATAAACCGTTGGTGGTCTATAAATTCTTATGCGCAGAATGTAACTCCTGTTATATAGGCGAAACTATTCCCATTTTCAAGGCGCAGGTATCTAAACATTACAAGAGGGACAAAAAGTCTCATATAGCATTTTACATAGCATTTCATAAGCATAACTATGCTAATAAAAATTGTTTTATGCAATTAAATGATAAGTGTTTTTCTAGTGTTTTTCTATTTTCGATTTGACAGCTATTAGATTCGAGTTAAAACTTAAAGAAAGTGCTCGGTGTAGAAATATTATATCCAAATAAGATCTTTAAATGTTATAATTTTTTTTGTTTAAGGTTTTTATAATATTTAAAGAAACTTTTCTTTTTTTAGATATAATTGTCAAAACTTTTTACTACCCGTATTAGTAAATTTAAAGAACACTATTTTTGAGTCTTTAGATCATTTCTACTCATCAGCATTGTAATGAATTTAGCTAAAATCTTTTGAAAAAGTTCCTTAATTTCTGACGTATATTATCTATATATAGTTGTCAAAACACAATATTTCTATCAATTTTCACAAAAAATACTAGAATTCCGACCAAGAAATAGCTTATAATTATGGAAAATTGCCAATAAACGACCAGAATAGACCATTTTGTTAAACTATAATGTTCATTTCAACTAAAAAACGCATTAATATAAAATCTTATTCAAATTTGGACGAGCGATTGTGATTTTAAGATGACTTTTTTTTTAAAAAAAAAAAGAATCTTCGGTCTAGATTTTTCAGCGACAAACATTTATATTTTTTGTTACCGCAAAATTTATCATTTTAATATTTTTCATCTTTTCATAATTCACAGACTTGAACATTTAACGGCATTATGTCGTAGTCAGCAAAATATCATGCAGACGCTATAATATTTTAAAAGAGCCTTAACTAAACCGAGTATGTACATAGAATGGTTAAAACCAAGTATAAATAAACAGGTTAACCATGCTTAAATAACACTTTCTGTATAGCTATTACTTTCTATATATATTGCGTATCTTTTTAACCTATTATTTTGTTAATTTTTTAATGCTTTGACAAATAGAATAGAAATAACTTCTATTTATACGAGTTAATTATGGTTTAAATAAAAAACACACTCTAAAAACGTATAATATTTTAGTAAAGTGAAAAAAAATTCATTTAACATTTATGCTTTCTTATGTTACATACTTTTTCTTTGCGTTTTCTTTCTTGCGTTACATATTTTTATTAGGAGATAATATTCAAATGGAAATTTCTAAAACATCCTTAATTATCTTAATCATACATAGTGAAGGAAATACAAAAAAAAACGACAATAAACTTATTCATAAATTGAATTATTTTTTTTATTTTAAAGTTAGTGTTAGTTGGGTAAAGTCGTTTTCACAATATAATTAAAAATTGTTTTCGGTTTAAAAAAAGATTATTCGAAAACTTAAATGTTAAACATTTAATTATAAAATAAAAGAATTGCAAAATAATGATTTACAAAATTTAAAAAAATTACTAGTCTAATAATTTTTCTTTATTTGTCTTTGAAATAAGATTTTCCGTATCTATAACCTTTATTATATGATCGACCATAACCTCCATATTCACCATTTCCATACCCCATATCTAAATAAATACATTCAAATTATTTTTTCAAACTGTTGATTAACATATTAGTGTTGTTTGTTAAATTCGGAATAAGGAAAAGAAAATTTTTAAATAAAGTTTACTATATGAGTTATGTAAGGGATCTTTTATAGCCAGTTTAGGTTCGTCACTGTAGCAGTTGTTTCCATATCTGTACCCTTTGTTGTATCCACCGTATCCACCGTAGCCATATCCTTTGTCTTAAAGATTAAAAAAAAGCACTCATTCTATTATAAAAACTTTAAAACAATTTTTTTTTTATTAAAAAATCACATTGTTAAATGTTTTAAAAAAAGTTTACTGAAGAAATGTGGAATCTTCTTTTACAGCTTTTTTTGATTCGTCGCTGTAGTTGTTTCCATATTCGTACCCTTTTTTGTATAATCCACCACCGTATCCACCGTATCCACCATAACCATATGCCTTGCCTAAAAGATTTAATGAATTCAAGTTGCATAAATGTAAATTAAAATTTTAAAATTGTTATTTTAAATGAAAGTCTTAAATCAAATGTTTTAAATATGATTTACTGTATGAATTATAACTAGGATCTTCTTTCATGGCTGTTTTTGATTTGTCTCTGTAGTAGCTATTTCCATATCCATACCCTTTGTTGTATAATCCACCACCGTATCCTCCGTATCCACCGTATCCATACTCTTTGTCTAAAAAATTCAACTCAAACTGTGTAAATATTATTTAAAATTTAAAAATTATTTATTTAATTGAAAATCTTATAACAAATGCTTTAAATATGGTTTACTGTATGAATTATAACTGGGATCTTCTTCCATAGACGTTATAGATTCGTCACTGTAGTAGTTGTTTCCATATCCGTTGTTGTATAATTCACCACCGTATTCTCCGTATCCACCGTATCCACCGTATCCATAGCCTTTAAATAAGTTATTAAACAAAGTAACGGTAAATTGTTTTTAAATACAATATATTTGTATAGAAATTAAAACATTTAGCAAAGTTTTAAATTATTGAATATAAGGTCATTTTAACTATTAATATGATATTAAGGTTTATTCTTTAGTAAAAATTAAGTCAAACGAAACTACAAATATTTGTTTTGAATTTCTTTGTTACTTACAATTTGATAAATTGTTAGATAATTATAAAAATTTTGTACTAATACTTGTATAAAATAGTTATTGAAAAAGTAATTTAAAATCTACCGTTTCCTTTATAGTACGAACTAAGTATCTTTCCACTTCTTGCATAAACACAAAGGTTTAGGAAAACCACCATAAACAATATGTTTTCTGTGTTCATGTTTTAAGTCAGGTTGAATAAGTTACACTAAAATAGCATAATTTACACCTTTGAGCACAGTCCAAATATTGTCTATTTATGCAAATTTTAACTTCCTTGTTAGTGACGCAAATAAACGGACAAAATTTGAATTACAATGCCAAAAACTTGTTTACGGTATTTTTATTATTTGTTATGCGTTTTTGTTGCTTTTATTTAATTGTGAAAGTGAATTTTTTTAAACAATGTGTAATTTGAAATTTCAAAATATAGAAGAATTGTATGTTTAGTTAAAAATATGGAAGAGTTGATAATATCGTCCGCCGGCAAAAGAATTTTCTGACAAAAGCCCGACATTTTCGAAAGACGAAAGCCGTTGGAGGTGGACTCCCAATTAACTTTCAGCAAAAAAATTTTTTTCCCGCCTCTGCCTGGTTTCCGCCCGCCTGGTTTCCGCTTTTTAATGGCGGCCGCAACATAAGTTTTTTTTGGAGGCAAAATGTCATAGAGACTGATGCTAATAGGGAAACAAAAGCCATTGGTGGAGGCCTCCAGAAGAAATTTTGAGACAAAAAAATTTGAAGCCAACTGCAATGGCTTTTGCCTTCCAGCTGGCGGGTGTAACGAAAAGTAATTTCACGTTTATTTTAACATTCTTTTAAGTTAACGATTAAATAATGTTTTAAATTAAAATATAAATTAACAAATGTTTAAAATTTGACATCAAAGTTTCGTTTTATGTATCTTATTGCAAAAGGTTTGAGTATGAAAAAAAATATTTTTGTAAGCAATCAAATTATCAAATTATCAAAGCTATCAAAAGTTTTATTTTTTGAAATGTTTTTTATTCCAACTCTCCCGTTTATTAAGATTCCCTTGTTTATTAAATTTTATAATTATGTTTCTAACCTTCCTGTTTATTAAGATCTTCCATTTATTTGACAGATAGGATAGTATATATTCTATAATATATACTATCCTATATATAGGATAGTATATATAGTAAAATAGTTTAAATTCCGTTATTATTTTATTCTATTTTAGTCTAAGTTTTCAGTTCGAAATATTCGTTATATTTCAAACTGAACAGCATAGATTTTGATCAAAAGTAATAAAGTGCTGATATAAAAATTGTTTTAACATAAGGTTAATACAGCTAGTTCATTAGGAATTTACTCTTCATAAAGTCTAAACTGAAAAGCTGAAAATCATGCTTATTACTTTTTGTGAACAACGCCTTCTGTAATTCATAAAGATTGTATAAATGTACAATAAAAAATTGATATCTAAATATGAGCAGATATACAGCTACGAAAAATAGAATATCACCACCGCCAAAAATTGGTTAAAATTAGAATTTTTAACTATTTTTGATTGTTTGAAAAACTTTTAAATACATATTTAAAAGTAAAATGGCTTTTAATATTTATAAAAAACAAAATTTACAAGTTTTAATATATAGTATTCATTTATTAAACAAAAGTTAAAAAAAAAATCAAATAAAGCGCGAAAAAAATAATAGCACCACAGCTTTAATGTGTACTTTAAAATAAGGAAATATTTTGAGATCAATTGTTTTAAACGTTTTACAATAAATATTAGTAGTTTTTTAACACATTAGTATTTTGTAGCGTGACCTTTATTGGCAATGACGGCTACACAACGTCTTGGCATCGAGTTAATTAAGTCCTGACATCGCTTTAGGGGAATTTCGCACCATGTCTCCTTAACTACGTTGCAAAGTGATTCCTTCGTGGTGGGTTTGGCAGCAGCAACCACCTCCTTTACGTCAGCCCGAAAATTCTCGATTGGGTTAAGATCTGACGACTGTGCTGGCCACTCCATAACGTTCACTTTATGTTCCTCAAACCAATTCTTTGCCTTTTTGCTAGTGTGCTTTGGGTCATTGTCCTGTTGGAACACCCTGGACAACGGCATTTCATAGTCTGCATACGCAACATCACTTTATCCAATATATCAACATAAACATATTGAATCATAATAGTAGTAATGTGATGAATGGGTCCTACTCCGTAATAAGAAAAGCATGCCCATATCATTATACTACAACCTCCATGTTAAATAGTTTTGATGGTATATTTTGGATTGTATTCTGCATTCGGCGGTCTTTTGAATACGCCCAAGAGCCAATTCCACCATAAAGCACAATCTTACTTTCGTCTGTCCATAAAATATTCCTCCATTTTTCGAGTGGCCAATTTGAATGATTTTTAGCAAACGCAATACGCTTTACGACATGTTTGGCACTTAAAAGTGGAACTTTTCTGTTGCTACAGGCTTTTAACCCATTAACTCGCAGACAACTCCGAACTGTTTGTACTGGTTGCATTGATGTTAAAGTCCTTTTTTAACTCGGTAGCTGTTTTAAAAGGTTCCCTTTTAGCCTGTCGGCAAAGCGATTGGCCAGCAATCTTGAAGTAGAACGTTTTTGACCACGTGTTTCAGGCTTTTCTTGAAATTTTATGGCATTTCTTATAATTTTATTGGAACACTCAACTAAACAACCAAATTCTCTATAAGGTTTACCTGCTGATATCCACTTTCGGATCAGTTCTCGTTTTTCTGCACTACAATGCTTCCCGCGTCCTATTTTTATATGTAAATATCTCCTAACATAAAATAAAACGAATAAAACAGAGGAAAAAAAACCCAACGCTTGCTATTCACAATTATTTTTACCATTATCAGAGTATTTTACAACAGAATAGTGTGTGGTGCTATTTTATTTTTCGGTCAGAATTGGGAATTTTGAATAAAATCGAGAAACCAAGCAGTTTTTTTCCCAAAATGATTTGTTTTAGAAAATAAACATGTGAGCTAAAATTTTAAACAGCAAAGCTATAAAAAAATTTTATTTTGCATGGTGTTTTCTTAACAAAAAGGAAAATACGCTTAGTGGTGCTATTTCATTTTTCACAACTGTAAATGTATATAATCTCATTAATTACTGTCATTAGACTGCTAACTATTAATTAAAGTTAGTTTAAATCTCACGCACTTATAATTGCATGCAGTAGTGGATATGACACTGTTTGTAAGTGGTATATACAGTATATAAATTATTTCACTCTCAAAAAGAAAAGTATTTAGTCAACACTTTTGAACATTTTAAAAATTGTGGTTTGTTACAACCTGATTACAAAAATCTTTTTTATGATCAGGTTGTTTTTTGTCTATACTATTGAGTCAATAGTCTTAGCCAAATATAACATGGTCGCAAAATACAATTTTACGTAAAAACCTAACAACAGTAAAAATTTGATTCACGATTTTTATTAGTGGTTAAAAATTTAAAATAAATTTTTTTACTGGGAAGTAAAAATTTATCATTAGTTGAAAACGCAGTAGTAAAAATCTCATACTACACAAGAAATTAAATAGGTAAAAAAAATCTCCATAGAGTATGATTTGGTTTGACTAAAGCGCGTTTTTTATTTTCAATTTTTTGTTTTCTTGTTGTTGTTATTTAGGTGCCCCAAAAAGACCTAATAGTTTTGCCACAGAGCACCGCGGAAATGCATTTAATAAGGAAGTTCACGCCTCCTTCCTTACCGTGACGCGGAAATATGTCCAGAGCTCGTTTCGAACCTGGATCTGTTACTTATAAAGCAAACGCTCTAACTATTTCGCCACGACCGTACTTTAACACAGTTACGTTGGCAAAAATTTAAAAACAAGTTTAATTTTTATAAAAGTTTTTAAATTTGGAAATATTGACCTCATGCCGGCATTGGATTAAGTTTATTTTGTTAATTATTAATGAGTATTACACTGCTCCCAGATAGGGGGCTTAGGTTGAAGGTGAAAGTACCTCGATTTTTTCTTCACAGAATTATCAGGTGGGTTTAGTAGATTATCGCTTAACAAAAATTAAAATTGAAGCTACTCCTAAATTAAAAATAGAATGATTTTTTAATTTTTAATAGTGATAATATTTTTAGAGTCATAACCTTGTTGTCTTCGGTGTTGCAAATAGCTTAAATAGAGTATATTTTTGATAGTTTTTAATAGCTTTGATAGAAATATACTATTATAGTTGTCTCATCAAATGAGACAACTATAATAGTATTCTGATATCTCCAACATAAATTTAAAAAAATAGGAAAAAAAGAGATTGAAAGACATTTAGGGGAGATTGTGTATGAAAGAGCCAGGTTTTAAAAGAACCGATGCCATTATGTCTAATTTTCTGGCACTCGACCATAATTGTATTTCACTTTTTGTGTGGCAACGCTTGATACCTGTCACACACAAAAAGTTTAGAGTTCTACTAAAATAAATAGCGTCGTAAAACTGCACTAAAAAATTTGAAAATGAAAAGTAATTTTTTGGTGTTTACTTAAGATAGAGAGTATTTTATTATTTGATAAAACATATATGCTGCATTGTTATATATATATGTGTCCTTCTTTTCCACAAATAGTATTAGATTAAAGTTCGGTAAAAAATGTTAATTTTTAGATTATTTTTTTTATCATACAATTTTTTGAAAGAGCCACTTTTTTATGCTATGTCATAGCATAAAAAAGTAGCATAAAAAAGTAGCTCCTTCATAGCCTATGAAAAAGCCGGGCTTTTCTATTTAGCTTTTTTTAAAATTAAATAATTGTTTTGCCGACTGACTATCTAAATTTACTGACCAACTTGTCCAAAGGGTCTACATTTGCCGACTAACTAGTCAGAAAGGGTCAAGTTTGCCGACTAAATGAACGAAAATATCATTGATGGGGGGGGGGGGGGTCATACAGCTCCACACACCCCCATCGCGTCGGCCTTGGTTTCAATGAGATTTCTTGTAGTTCAGCTAAGAACTAATTTTTAATTTATTTATATAATATTTCAGTCTGATTAGCTCAGACCGTCATCAGACGCAAAAAAAAAATGCAATAATTCATTAACCATATTCTATTGAAACTAATTGTTTGAATGACTTTTCCTCAAGTTGTAATACGTAGGTACGTTTGAATCTTAAAAAATATATTCAAATACTAATAAAGTTTTTACTATAGTTTAAATAATTTTTTTTTAATAATTAAAATCTATTTTTGCTTCAAACTTCGTAGCATTTTGTAAAAACCTTTTTTATATTATTGTATTCACTCATACATCACAAGCATAGTTAATATGTGTGAAATGCCTTATAATCACTATGATTCATAGATAACATTTCTCGTCAAGATGTAGTCAAAACAACTTGTACTTTTGACTAGTGTATATAAATTTTTTTATAAACGCTTGACTAGTGTATATTAATACTTTTGCTTTTTTCATTCTCATTTAATATTTAAAAAAAAAAAACATATCTTTACAAGTATTAACTACAAAAAGCGACGTTGACGTTATGTGAGGATATTGTTTTAATAATAAAGTGAAACTATGGTTAATGGCTAAAAAACTAATCTCTTAAATTATATAACTATATTTTTAAACATGTCTTCACAATGGCTTTTAAACATGTCTTCATAATGGCTTATACTATATAACCATATTTTTAAACATATCTTCACTTATACTATACAACTATATTTTTAAAACATGTCTTCACAAGTATTAACTACGAAAAGCAACGTTGACGTTATATGAGGATATCTTTTTAACAATAAAGTAAAAGTATGGCTAATGGCTAAAACTAATGGCTTATACTATATAAGCATTAGTTTTATCATTGATTATCATAGAATTATATAAGTCAAAGTACGATCTGATTTTTAGAAGTCTAGTTAATAGATTATTACTCTTAAAAAACTTGTTAGTTTTGGAAACTTTACGGCTCATTTATAACACAGAATGGCTCTTTCATTGACAAGAAGTTGACAAGCTGATTTCTCTCTTTTTTTTTAAATTGGTGTATGTTAGATTATTAGTATTGTTATCTAATTTATTTTAATTTTATAATATTACACAATAACGTAACTATTTAAAGAAAATAAATTTTTTTAAAATTGGTTTCTTTTTTTCAGATACGAATTATTATTCAATTAGTGCCGACAAACGCAAACTTTGTTGATTTTTATAACTGTGATAATGTTTGAGAATAAAATAACCTCAGATCTTTTCATGAAGTTTTTAAAAAAATGAGCATTTTTTTAAAAGTTGAGCAAAATAACCATAAACTTTTTGTATTTAAGATAATACAAAATAAAATGCAGATTCATTTGAGAAGTTAGTTTGTGAAAAGCATTTGTGAAACATTTATTTTCTAGTCGGCAAAACGCCGCAACATATAATTTTTAAATATAAAAAGTATTACGACTACTGATTAAATCATTTGGAAAGAACATGACTAAATCCTAACCCGTAAAGAGTGTGCACAATTCATGAATTGTCAAATCTATTTAATATAATCTTCTGATAATATTATTGAATAACTTTCTCGATCATTCATCCTATGAAGACTTTACTAGGCTAATTTGATGAAGAAACACCTGGTATAGTATACCGAGTGCTAAATTTAAAGTTTTAAAATAACAAAATATTTACTTTATGTGTTTTTGTTTTCACTGCCAATATTATTTGAAACTTTTCGGCTTTTTGTGCCACAACGTATTTACTATATGACTGAAGCACAAGTAGCATAAATAAATTAATAGCATATAAATAGTAACCAGGGCCGGATTAAGACGCTTTTAGGTCTAGGGCTGTAAATATAGGAGGTGTAAATGCGGTAGCCACCTAAAAATGCCGAGGGGAAGCAAAGCTATGCGAGGTTGCCTAGGTCATATTTATTTTGGTTAGCTCCTGACTTAAAATCTAATTTATGTCTTCTTATAAAGATTTTTATTTTTAATTGGTCCACTGAATCGATATCTTTTTTTTATTTTCTTTTTTAATTTTTTTTACTTGTTGTTTTAATATTTCCACTTTGCGACCAATCTTCATCTTCGAGATGTTTTTTTTTTTTACTTTTAGAGAGTGAT